TGAGAAAGGTTACGAGGTGTCGCGAGATACCCCTAGGTCAGGGTAGCACGGTCAACCCCATACTTAATCTCTTATGTAAATCCATTAATAAAATTTTAATGAAAAGCATCCTATATTGATACTTTAAACAGATATTATAATATATGTTTATTAAAAGTATTTACTCAACACCTGTTATTTGTCTCAATAATCCGAAAATAAAATTGGATTATTTTTTCCGTCACGGCTAAAGCACGAAATGTTTGACTACCGATACAAAAATAACGTCTGCTGTTCAAATTTTTGAAGAGGATAAAAATAAACAAAGTCGAAAAGTAACAACTGTTTAAACAGCCTTCTGGGTTATAGAGAAATGATACATTCTTAATAATTTGAAAATCTGACCTAATAAAAAGCTACCGTCTGCTGTGGTGACAAAATTACGAATATTTCAACAGCTTATTTTTCTTTCAAATTAACTTTTAACCATATGTTTATAAAAAAATAAAACTACTAATATTAATGCCAAATTTCAATACTCTCACCCGAATACAATTTGCTGCGACATTAAAAAAAACAGAAAACGAAACAATAAAATATTACTCCTAATTATTAAATGTTTGCCGCCATCAAGGTGTCGTCTGTAGGAAAACGGTGCGATGTACAAATTTCTGCTCGTATGATTAATTAATGAGAGCGAACCAATTATACCAGTGTTGAAATAATACATTATAATTTTGTTAACTACTCATTTATTGTGTTTGAAAGTGCTTCAAGTAATAATCTAATTAATTATATGTTAAATTAAGTAAACAAACTTAATTGGCATTAACTGTTGAAATATTTCTTGTTAATTTTAAAATAATTATTAGAAATTAAAACAGAAAGATAAATACTTGCTAATTCGTGCTAAATTACACTTTTAGCTGTCTTTAGATGACATTGTGTTTTAAAATAGTAATTTTGCGAAAATAAAACACGATAAAGCCAATTAAGAAATGTAATTGCTACGTTTAAATTTCGACTTTACTTCCGATATGGGAAAATAAATCATTTTAATGTCCAAGAAATATTCGAGAAAAAATAAACAGCACGCACACAAAATTCAACAAAACTAAAAACACGCAGGCAAAATAAGTGATATGAAATCATTAAATTCGAAAGATCTTTTCCGCTCAAATATATACAACAAATAAGTGGTTTTATTTACCTGATTGTTTACATCATTTAAAATTATTTATTATTTTATGTGAATTATCTATATAATAGTGTTATAAATTCAAATTACCATGCTTAAATTACCGTAGAATTAAATCGTGTACATTTTTAGTTGCGATTAAAAAGAAATCCCCGCCCTCGAATCAGAAACAAAATGATAAAAAAGGATTAAGTAATAACTCAAATAGATAAATTACTATATCGATTGCTTATAAAGGACCATATCTGATTATAAAATCATTTTAAAACAACATACTTTCTTTTGCAATTAAAGAAAAGCGGCTTTACAAAGATTAACTGAAGAAGCGAAATGTCCGACTGATAATTTATATTGTTTTATCATTTATATATGTAATAATCAGTAACGAAAGTTTTTAAGTTAAATATTATAGACATTTCGAAAGATTAATGATATGAAAAATATTTGTGGCAGAAGTAAAGCACCATATACCGACCAAACGTTTATTTAACGTGCCAATTCCGGTATTAAAACATCAAACAAAAATCTAAATCTCTGTTAAAGATAAAGTGTACATGCGTCCGGATTAAAAGAAATTTTAGTATTGAATAGCGAGAGAGATTGTAGAAAAATTGTTCTTTATTGTTAAAACTTATTTAAAATATATGATTAAGTATGATCAAGATATTATATAATATCAAATTAAAGCGTGCGTAACGTTCAAATTTTTCCAAGCCAGAGCACTTTTTATTATGACTATTTTGTTAAAAAATGAAATGATTTATGCCAATTAAAGCGGTTTATTTCTTCTTCAAAACGTTTTTTTTTTGAAATTAAAAAAAAAATCTTTTGAAAGTATGAACATTTCCTAGCTTCACCTATCTTAAATACTTAAAAAAATAACAAAAACTCATTCATAAGATACAGTATTATAACATTTTATTACGCCCTTATATACTTTAGAGAAAGAGAGGGAGAGGGGCAAGGGCAATAAGATTTGCCGTATTCCTTCGTCCCGCTGTCCTGCTATCCGTCTGTTCCCTGACAAAACATCGGGGAATATTAGAAAAAAATGTTTTATTTCGTTTCAAAGTACAATTAATGTATAATTTTGTGATTTCTAAGTTGTCTCCGTACCGTTCATATGATCAGAATAAAGCATTGAATATTTAAAGGCGTGGTTAAAACTATTTTTAGTCCTCATACAACCAGTATGCTAAAAATAACGCTATCAAGTTCAGGATTCATACACGTTATACTATTAATTTTCATATCAAAAATGCAGCTTGGTTTCCTTAAATAATTTGACCTTTCTTTAACCACTAACTTTGTTCTTTTCTATATCTTAATAGAGAGAAAACACAGAATCCCTAAAGAACGCCCAATACGGCAAAAAAATTTAAGTGATTAAGAACAGAACAGAACAGTAACTTTATTTCAGACTTGTACAAAATGCATCACCATACACATTACAGTCGATCAAATATATTAAATATAAATATTAAATATAAGCCTGTTCTCAAAACAAAGATAATTACGTTGTGAGTCATATCAATTGAAATAATAGTATCAAACCTAACGCCTACAATTATTTAATTAAAAAAACCAACAACATCACATATCCTTACTTTTAGTTACATTGCGAAAAGGTTTGAATTATTAAGCAGCGAAATCTATTTTATTTATCATTTTTTTCATTATAAATCCATAAAACTATCAATGGCAACCGTGTGAGGAAGGGGCGACGTCAACATTAGGAATTACCGTGGCATACGTTTCTCTTTGAAAATTACTGCGCGCGATTCAATCAAGGAAAAATACACAAATATTCAGCTAATTCAACGCGTGTTGAAATAGATAAGTGCAGACAATTTATTTTTATAATCTTATTACATAAACATCCTTGGTGGTTTGTAAGCCATCAGTCTTAAATTAACATTCAACACTGCTGCTGATGACAAATTTAGGCTGTGGGAATTAATTTATAGGTCTCGAAATTACAATTTGAGCCGCGTCACGACAAAACCAACATAATGGGTTTGCGACCAGCATGGATCCAGACCAGCCTGCGCATCCGCGCAGTCTGATGAGGATCCATGCTGTTCGCTTACAAACTCTATTACAAGTAGAGATACCGATAGCGAACAGCATGGATCCTGATCAGACTGCGCGGATGCGCAGGCTGGTCTGGATCCATGCTGGCCGCAAACCCAGTATGTTGGTTTTGTCATTGCGCGGCTCATTTGTCAATCCTCTTCCTCTCGGGAAAGATACATCCTTATTTACAGAAAATAGGTTGTCAAATTCTTATCATACATATATGTATATATATTTTTCAGTTTAATTTGGAAAGAAAAACAATTTCTCGAAGGATTCCTTTTCTTAACAGTTCACGCTGCGCAATATTTACTGCTTTTATTTTCATTTTTTTAATAGAAAAAATGCTTCATTTTTGTTCATTAAGTATGTGTGAGCGTTACTTCATTTGTAGACATTTAAAGGGTAATCAAAATTAAATCGCAAAAAGTAGAATATTGTTATATTCAAAATATATTATTGTTAAAGATTTTAACTGGTTGTAACTGTAACTTAATTTAAATTGAATAAAATATCATTTTTATGAATTAAAATGAAACAAAATATTTTTATGAAACAAAATATCAATTTTATGAATGAGAGTAGAATAAAATATATATTTTTAGAATTAAAATGGATTTAAATATCATTTTTTAAAATATGAATCTTTTATTTGTCAGATTTGTTATTTTCACAAAATAAAGCCTTTCAATTTACATGTTATTTTTCTATAACTATATTCGAATTGTATGACAACACAAATGAAGAAAGACAATTTTATATGTATATTCTAATATGATATCTTATTATAAATTATCATGTATAAAAATCATTTTCTTTTAAGCATCATCATAAACAAATATAGTAAAATAAATTCGTAACATTATTTTTCAAAAGGAAAAAACATTTCCACAATTGTATTTTTAATCCATCTTCTATGCATATCTGAAATTTTAAAGCACAATATATAATTTAACTTTTATAAAAAAAAGTACGGAGTTTGTCTTAAAAAACATGCTTAAGTCACGCTCATTTTTTTATGTCTGCTAATTTCGTCTGCACTTATCGTGTGTTTAGCGAATACTTAGAGAGCTTTTAAACATTTTTCCCCCGAAGATGTATTCTGTTTGCTTGGCCTCAAGCAGAAAACCGTATGTTTTAGATCAAATGAAATTGTTCCAGATTGATCCGAAATGTTTAACTACATTCTTCGTAAAACAAGATTTGTTGAAAACATGATGTAAATAAAGGAATCGAAATCTGATTCAGAAATTTATCAGATCCTAGCTGAGGTCTAAAATAACACAATCTGGCAAATTTCTGTATATCTGTATGTCAAAATAATGTTTATAATTTGGGTGGTCATTTTTTTCGCTAAAATTTTGAAAATGTAAGTGTAAAATACGGTAGGCGTGGAAAATAGGCGGTAATTTACGTAGAGGATTACTCGAAATTGGCTGTGATTAGTTAACAAAGACCACGTGGTCCGCTGATTGCCACGTAATTGCCCGAAGGGGGTTGACACTGCTTGAGCGTTATTTGCATTAATGGCCATTTATTTTGCCATCATTAAGTAAACATACAATTAAAACATATACTTGTAATTGATCTCCGTTTATATAAATAATATCTGGATTACTGTCTTGGATTCAAACATTCGAGAGCTATCAAACTGGCCAAATCGTGCAATAATTGTGCAGTGAATTGTATGCGCTTATTAAAATTTATCGCAGTGTTAGATAGAACTTTACGAAAGCGTTTATTACAAGGATATTTCTTACATTAAAGAAAGAAAAAAACTGTGTTATTGAAATGGCGACTCCGCCAACACTTCCAAATGAAGTTTTACCTCATGGATATTCCTCGATCTACGGGGCTGGGATTCCGTCGGCATACAGCGGTCTCGCCGTGGCATCGCCGTACAGTTATCCCGGAATGTACTATCATCCAGCGGATTTAAACCGAGCTTATGCGATGCGTATGCTTGAAGAACTTCAACGCCGGGAGCAACCGCAGAAGCCGCCGTATTCATACATAGCACTTATTGCTATGGCCATTAAAAGTGCACCGGATAGAAAGATAACGTTGAACGGAATTTATCAATTCATCATGGAACGGTTCCCATATTATCATGACAATAAACAAGGCTGGCAGAACAGTATTCGACACAATCTAAGTTTGAATGACTGCTTTGTGAAGGTCTCAAGAGAAAAGGGGAAGCCGGGCAAAGGAAATTATTGGACGTTGGACACTAAATGCGAGGAAATGTTCGAAAACGGCAACTATAGGCGTAGGAAAAGAAGGGTCAAAGTTCCAGTAAAAGATGGAGAGGATGGCACTAATAGTTTTGACGATTCCAAAGACAGGGACGACAGTGATGTAGAGTCGTTAGATGAGCTGAATGTTACATCAGGAGATGAGGAAGAAGCTAGCATGGAAAAAGACCGACTGATGTCAAATATTTCGCCGGTAAATGACAGTGGTATAAACGTAGGTTCGAGCGGTTCTGAAGACGAAAATTCGAGAGACTCGACGGAGGTTGCAGCTAATTTCAGACCTCAAACAAGTAAATGTGATAACCGCGATCAGCCTGAATCAAATTATTCTGGCGGAAGTAAATTTTCTGGAATTAAAAGAAAACTTTTTACAATAGACAGTATTATGGGTATAGACGAAGAAAAAGAAACGAAGAATGAGCAAAAAACAAACATTGAGATTGAACAAAGTGAAATAATTGAAAGACCATTAAAAAAGAGAAAAATTGATATTTTTGATAAAATTCCAAGCCCGCCTCCAAAAGTTATAGATTTAAAAGGTGGTAATTTGAGTACATTGCAATTATCTCTTGCAAGTGGACTTTACGGGCTTAACTTTCAACAAATGTATGCTAACATTCCATCATATGGTATGAATCCACAAATATGGTCACCTAACTTACAACTCCCGTCATTTGGGCAGGGTTTCGCGGAAAGAATATATCAACAAAATGCGGCAACGCGAGCTATGGCTTTCTCAGGCACCGGAAGTGTGTCACCACGTGATACTTTAGAATCTCAGCACGTGATGCCTCCAGGAACTCCACAGCTTCACTCCACACCTAGGATACAGTGATACCTTTTAATGAATGTATTGTTTTATAGAATTGTTAAATTATATAGTACATGAAAACAATTACGAACAAATTTGTGATGTGCTTTGTGACGAAAAATGAGTTGAAAAAAGAGAGACTTTAATAAACACAATTTCTCCATGTACAAATAAATACACGTAGACGCTAGTTTCTGTTTGTGCGCCAGAAAATTGTATTGTGCCTAGGGAAAAAAACATTATACATTTTATGAAGAAAAGCACGGATTTATACCGGTATAACAGCGGTCAATGAACTCACAAACATAATGTATTGTTTTATTTACTTGTTTTGCTTATTTTCTTACAATCATATTGTTAAATTATATACTTGTAGATGTTACGGATCGATTATCTTTTGTTGATATATCATAGAATTTGTATAATTAACGACGTTAATAAAAGTCACGTTTTGCTAATTACTAAATGACTTCCTAATTTCTTCGACATTTGTAAGCACGTTGGTGAAGTTTTTTTACATCTCTCCTTAAAGTACATAAATTACATTATTTCTGACAAGTAACGATAAAATATTATATATTTTTTGTAAACTCTAATATATAAGTGTCACCATTTTTTTGCTAGTTTTTTTATGAAATGAGTATAGGTTTGAAACAAGTGAATAATGATCTATGTTAACTTTAGTTAAAATGGACGAATTCTTCAGATTATAGGGCAATAAAATGGGGGCAATAAAAACAACTACAAACATGCATTGTGTTAGAAATGCATATAAGTTTGCAGATTTGAAGACATATGAAAAAAGTATGTCTTACAGATTTAACAAAAAAGAAATAAATCATTTCACAAAGAATAATAAGAATCTTAAGATTTTATTTGAAAAATATTCTGTTAATTATTCTTTTTCTCCCAAAGTAATGCAATATAAGCATTAAGAGTAACAACAAAAATGAACAATAACTAATAAAATAAGAAATGTATACAGCCAGTATTTTCTTTCTTTTTCGGAATAACTTATATTTAACAAGATGAAATGATTCAAAATGCAAATTCTTAATCTAGAAAATTTTGCATAAAATAGTAAATTCTAGTTATACTATTTTTGCAAAAGTATAAATTTAATCACGTTAATAAATAAAAATTTCAATGAAAATTCATACATAGAAATAACAAACTATTACAAACCAGAACTTTATATTAGTTCGAACTATAATAATAATAATAATAATAATAATAATAATAATAATAATAATAATAATAATAATTATAATAATAATATGATAATACATGTAATAATAGTATTAATAATAGTAATAATGATGATAAAACAAATTGAAGTAAAAAGAATTAACTGAGATCATTGCGTTTTTAATTGTATAAGTGTATTTTTATCGTGAAATAACAATAATGACTTCAATATACTAGAAATATTACCAATCAAATGGTTAAATAATGTGAAAGTTGTTCGTTCATTTATAAACGATAAGAGCGTATCTTTAAAAGGTATTTTTTAAAGAATATTTCGTGCATTTAATCCACATTTGTTCGTACCTTTAAAAACTATTCAACAAAATTGCAGAATATGAAATCGTCTTCAAATTCAAACACTGTTCGTAACTTCAAAGATTTTTAATATATAATATTTTAAAGTCGTATAATAATAATAATAATAATAATAATAACAACAACAACAGATTTATCAATTTTGATATTTATTCGATTATCAACAACTATATAAATAATATTTCAAATAACTAAACATACGATTTGAAATATTAACCGTATAACTTATACTTAGTCTTTATAGGAAGAATAAAAAAGCCTTTTGTACCGTTAAATAGATATATCTTTACTTTAATAGTGTAAAAATGCATACCAAAATGCTCATTCTTCGGGGCAAATTGTTTTTTACTATAAAAATTATATTTTTTAGATTTATATTATTAGATATTCTAAATCACCAATGACTACAGATGTAGAAACCTATAGACATGCATAATTAAAATTCGATTCACAAGTTTTGCTTAAATAATTGAAGTTGCATACCGATGTTGGACGGAAAGCGCCAAAAAGTTGCAAAATAACATGCATTTGGCGGGACAAAAATTTTCAACATTGCAACGCTTTTCACTCAAATCGGATCAAGTATAGCATAAAACTACGATTTATCCATTTATTTCTGGATATATTTCTTAACTATACTTTGCATGTTCTGTTTTAGTGCCCCAGCTGATTTCTGTAAGAAATTCAAATTTTTACTTTAATTTTGCTCTTGGACTTCAAATGGAGTTTCTTTAAGATAGGGCATTTTAAAATATATTGAATAGTTCTAATATAATGCAGAGGCAGAATTTATAAAAGAATTAACCAATTTAGACACACGCACAAAATGCTTTGAAAACATTTTCGTTTACTGCGTGTACTGCTTTAAAAATGAAATTACAATTTCAAAAAGTATATACATGCCTCCAAAATCACGACGAAAGAACATGTTGAAATTCTTAAACTCAGTTTTGTTAGAATTTCATACTTATGAAAAATATAAGTAAATGCTTTGAAGAAATACTTCAAACAATTTTACAGTTGCCTATTTCTTGCATACATCTTACATGATGTACATGTAAAGCATTTAATCAACCACTAACTGTGTTAGTCAGTAAAAGTTTAAAGAGAGCTGTGGAATAGGTCTACGGCATTTTTCAGGCACAATTTGAATAGATAAAAAAAAACCTTACCAACAATGTTCCCTTAACAAAATGATAACATTAATTTTAATATTTGAAAATTGCACTTTCATAGATTTCTAAAATTTGAGTGGTTATAAAATCTTTTTGAATCAATGATATATTTGTTCTGCTATAAGCATAATGTCATTGATATAATGGAATGATTGAGTTAGATATGATATATTAAAGAAGCTCTACTGAGGTCCAAAAGCTTAAAATATATAATTTGAATTTCTTTCATAGATCAGCCGGGTCACTTAAACAGAAATACATGCAATATAATTAAGAGTGAAAAAATTTGAGTGAAAAAAAATGTCTCAAGGTTTTTAAATTTTGGGTCATTTTTTACAATTAGAATAATCATTCTGGCAAAACGGTCTAAGCTATAATCTGAATTTTGCACACACGGTATTGTTATAGACCTACATCAAATGGAATATTAATTGCGAAAAAATAATATTCAGTCCCAAGAAAAAACACAACCCTCAGTGGAGACCCTTTAAAGCAAGAAAATAAATTGTAACAACTATTACATAATATCATCTTAAAAGATACGGTAATCCGGACTAAGTTAGTTTCATTGTGACTTGGAAATGATTTGCCGAGTCCCCTTTCTAACTCCATTAAGTTTATATAAGTTACTTGTAATTAATTCACTTCTTATTCTGCTTTCTAGACCGGAATTAATCGGTATTAATGTGTACAGGTGTCATTTGAAAGAAAATGCCCGTGCTCCATGTAAGAATTGAACCCACGACCCCGTGCTCCCATGTAGGAATTGAACCCACGACCCTTTAGCTGATAGATCTATACATAAGTTATTAAGACCATAATTTCTCCCCTAACATAATCATAATGCAAATCATTGCTTTTGCCCCTGTAATTTACTCTGTTTTTTTACAACCTAAACCAAATTAACTTCAAAGATAATGAGCCGCGCCATGACAAAACCAACGTAATGTTTATGCGACCAGCATGGATCCAGACCTGCCTGCGCATCCGCGCAGTCTGATCAGGATCCATACTGTTCGCCTACAAACCCTATTACAAGTAGAGAAACTGATAGCGATCAGCATGGATCCTGATCAGACTGCGCGGAGGCGTTGACTTATCTGGATCCATGCTGGTCGCAAACGCTTTTGTTTTGTCGTGACGCGGCTCAATTATTTCACGTGATTGTGATGTTCAGATATCTACCTTACTAATAAAAGAAACTTATTTTGAATGTTCATAGTAAATTTTCGTCCTTTAAGACAATAACATAAAATAAATGTATTTCAATGATAAAATATGTTGAGAAGACAATATCGCACGAAAATAATTATTTGCAGCGGGAAATATGTATTGTTCTATAACTTTCCGCTATTTTAGAAATATTATTTTCAATTTAAATAATACCCCGGTTATATCGAAAGTTAACCTCGAACTTTAATGTTCAACTTCACTTTTTTTTCAAAACAGCTAAAATACTCTCACATTTTTCATATTGCATTATTCCGAACATTTTTTTTGAAAACCTGTGCTTCAACGGACATACATACCCTAAATTGTTTATAAATATATTTATACAATAAAAAAAGTGAATATGTTCTGCGAGAGGACCAGTTAAATGCTTAAATTCCACGTATATGAAATAATGAATTTGCAATGAATTTATAAATGATGCCACCGCTGTCTTAGTTTCCTAATTCATACAAGAAAAGTCAAACAACATACACACATGTCTAGAAAAAAAGAAACTAGTCATGTATAGAAAAAAGAAACAATTTTCGTTTCTATCTCTTTCCTTTTTTTCTCGCGTCTCTCACACAATATTTGTGAACAATTTTCCCGCCAAGCAAAAACTTACTATCTTAATATTGTCGGAATAATTTCAATACATGTATACATATTGTACAACATGAAATAAACAACAGCGATTCGGTCAATGGATCTGTTTGTGGCCTAACAAATGTACCAAAAAGATTGTCCGTTCTCATTATTTCAAGCGGGAAAAAATAAACAGTTAAGTATGCTACAGAAATCTTGACTGGTTCCCATGATCTTATACAGTATTTTTAGGCTGTATCCGTTGTTTCTCATTAGACTGTGTCAAATTTTTGCTATTTATTTAATTGAATCATTTGTTGAATCAAACATAGATTGGCATATTATAAAACATAATCATTTCGTGTTTTATATTCCATTTCGGTTTTTATATTCCATTTAGGATTTTAATTGCATCGTTTCCTGTATTATTCGGACAGATTTTGTAATTGTATGAACAGCTTGTCGTCAAAGTCATTACAGCTGTGTGATTATTGAACTAAACGAAAAAGGGGGC